AGGAAACTAGTTCAGTTAGAATTTTGGATCCTTTCACCATACATTAATTTCGCAGGGCTGTCGTAAGAAAGCACCACAAACAGAGTGGCTCAAGTAACAGAAATTTATCCTGCTGTGGTTCTGGAGGCTACATGTCGGATCCAGGCACCTGCAGGGCGGCGCCACCTCTAAAGGCGCCAGGGGCCCTAGCTGGTTTGGCTCAGTGGATAGAGCGTCAGCCTACAGACTGAAGGGTCCTGGGTTCGATTCCAGTCAAGGGCACATGCTCGGGTTTCGGGCTCCATTCCCAGTGTGGGGCGTGTAGGAGGCAGCTGATTGACGATTCTCTCTCATCATCGATGTTTCTCTCTCCCTCTCCCTTCCTTTCTTAAATCAATAAAAATATCTTTAAAAAAAAATAAATAAAGGCGCCAGGGAAGGGTCTGTTCCAGGCATCTCTCTTAGCTTTGGGGGGTTCCTGGGCTTGTGGCACAGAACTCCAGTCTTCACATGGCATCTCCCTGTGTGTGTGTCCATTTCTGTGTCCACATTTCCCCCTTTTTGTAAGGACATAGTCATGTGGGATGAGAGCCCACCCCAAGGAGCACATATTAATTGATCATCTACAAAGACCCTATTTCTAAATAGGGTCCCAAACATATGCCCCAACCTCTTAAACCATGGAGCCCAAACAAGGCTCCACGTAGAGTCCGACCAGTATAGAGCTGAGTAAAACAGTCACCTCCATCATTCTAGCAGATATGTCTCTGCTAATGCATCCTGAGATCACATTGTCCTTTTTGGGAGCCATTACAAAAATCTCCAAAATATCTGGTAGGGATAGGTACCAAAATGTGGTAAGAAGAGATGGTTTTCTTATCCTCATTACAGACCAGCTGATTGGCATGTGGCCATTACTCCCAGCTCTCTTTCCAAATCCCAAGCTCTCCCCTCCACCAACCAAGACTCTTTGACTGTCAGATTCTTCATCTGTAAAATGCAGAAGATGGGTCTCTTCCAGCTCTGTAATGCTGTGATTTGTCTTCTAAATGCAAACTCTGAAAGCCAAGCAGTGAACAGAAAAATAGAGGCCTTCTGCCTAGATCTAAAACGCCTAGGAAAAATAAAAAAGTTTCCTTTTCTACTACTCATCCTAGCCTTTTTTTTAATCCTCACCCAAGGATATGTTATTTATTTTTTTAGAGAGAGAGAGGAAGGGAGAGGGAGAAAAAGAGAGCGCGCGTGAGAGAAATATTGATTGGTTACCTCCCGTATGCCCCAACCAGGGACTGAACCTGCAACCTAGATATGTGCCCTGACAAGGAATGAATCCACAACCGTTTGGTGTATGGGATGCTGCTCCAACCACTGAGCAACCTGGAAGGGTGCCTTATTTTTTTCATAAGTGATATAGCTTGCTGGTTAGTGGTAGCTCTAAATTTGACAGTTAATTGAGTCTGCCGATTGAAGGGCTACAACTTTCTCAATGACTTGATCTATATCATCTTTCCTATTATTTCCTCTTTTCATACTCCACAAACTTTTGTCTTTTCACACATCCCACTTTCGAAGATTTTTCCTCTCTCTCCAAAACAACAACAAATGTCTTTAAAATAAGAAGCAGGGTTCTCCATAAAACCTCAGGCACAAACGGGCTTTAGGAAGTCACTCCCCCTCCTTCACCGTGTCTCACGTCAGGAGCACATCAAGCCAGGGTTGACTTGACAGCCTCATCTGTCAGGGTGTTCTTCCTAACATTTTCTCCAGGCTGCACAGGCCTGTTGGTGCCCGTTAGGGTTTCTCCCTGTGCGTGAGAAATGCGGCAGGTTCACCATTCACGTCTGACAGGTGAGAACACGGGCACAGAGAAGGTAAATAGCTGAGCCGCAGTCACAAAGCTGGGAGTGATGGGACCAAGAAAAGACCTCAAGACTAAGGGCTGCTGGGTTAAGTGCTCATTGTTACATCGCCTTTGGAAACAAGATTGTCATATGAAATGAGAGACAGCTCTGCCTTTCTGCCTCCCATCATTCTTCTGGTCCAGTTGAAGGGCTGCCACCCCCAGAAAGCACTCGCTAGTCACCTCAGATCACAGCATTTCCTTCCTCTGGGATCCAAAATCTGTATGGGCTGCCCCACAACCTTGGCCCTCATCACTGATCATCAGATCAAGGTTGTAACAGTTTCACACAACAAATGAACCAACTTACACACTCCATGGGGCGTTAGCGTAACACCAGCACTCGGTGAACTCAACAAACGGCGGTTGCTATGGCTTCTATTATCACTCATGCTCCCAGTTACTGTGACCGGGAATCGAGCTACCCCAAAATTAGTGACATTAAAAAAAAGTCTAATGCTTAGGGGCACTGGTATACATATTTAAAAACTTTTTTAAAGGCACAAAGAAGATAGCGTGGCTCTGTTCCATGATGTCTGGGCTGCAGCTGGAAGGTGTGAAGGTTTAGGGGTGACTCGAAGACAGCACTGGAGTCAACCAAAGCCTCATTCATTCACACGTTTCAAGGCTGATGTTGGCTGACAGCTGGGGACCTCAGTGCCTTTTCCTGTGGTCTCATGACATGGGCTAGTTTGGGCTTCCTCACAATATGGCAGCTGAGTTCCAAGGGCAAGAATCCTGAGAGGACAGAGCCAGGAAGCTGTATCCTTCCATGGCCTGGCCCAGCGTCGCATCGAGTCAGCTCTGCGGCACCCTGTGAGTCAGAGTAATCCAAACCCCGGTCCAGATTGAAGGGAGGAACACAGACCCATCTCCTGATGGAAGGAGTGTCAGTCCCATTGTACGAACACAGATACAGCCAGCCCCGTTCTAAGAAGACAGATGCAGCCGTCTTTGAAAAATACAATTTTCCATAATCATTACCATCATCCGCTACCATCCCTTCTCCTTTAGGATGCGTCTCTTCCAGGTGGCTCCCCCAACCCTGTGGCAATCCTGCTGCCCCAGTTTTCACCACACGACTGGTCCAGCAGTGGGCGAAGCTCGCGCCAGGTGCAGATCCCTGCCATGCCCCAAATGAACACAAGCAACAACTTTCTTGCTTTGTCCCAATCGATTTGCAAGAGGAGGTGCATATTCCCAGGACCTGGGCCCCAGACAGGAGGATAAAACAAACAAAAACCAAAACCCAGGCAGTTCCTAAGAGATTTAGCTGCAGAGTTTTCTAGTTGCCAATCGTTTACCCCTAGTGACCATGTGCTCAGCTTAAAGTCTACATTTCTAGCCTCCTTTGCCAAGAGGGGTGACCAACGAGAAATAAACAGAAGTTGTTTAGTGGGAAAGCTTTCTGTTGCAGCCGATGCAACTGGAGATGCCTTTTCCTTCCCTGTGCTTTCCTTTATTCTTGTCTAGACTCAGATGCAATGGCTGGAAGAGCAGCAGTTACCCTGTGCCCTGAGGTGGCTTTGAGAATAGCAGGGCAGAAAGATGGAGGTCTGGGGCCGAATGACACCATGTGGACACCACAGAAGTTTTGAACTACCTGTTTGTACGACGTGAGAGAGAAAGAAAAAGCCCCCACCTTGTACAAGCCACTACGGTTTTACATCTTTATTATTAGTAAGTAGTCAATCACAGTTATGAGAGAGCCTTTATTGCCTCCAGCTTTTTGATTAGCCTTCCTGCCTCAAACCTCACCCAGTTCCAATCGCCAGTGATGTTCCTCACACACAAATCTGATAAAGACCCTCTGCTGCTCTGAAGTCGCCAATGGCTTCCCAGCACCTCTAGATAAAATCCATACTCTTTAGTAGACATTCAGGATCCTTCATACCCCAGCCCCAGTAGAGCCTGATCTCCTACCCTACACCCCAGACAACCCATGCTCCAGCCACTGCACACTCCTCAGCTTTCTAGTTCACACTAGTCCTCATGTCTATAGCCCTCCTATGTGAAATGTTCTATGTGGTGATCTCCTGCTTGTTCTTAACACCTTATTCCAAAGCCACCTCCTCCAGGAAGCCTTCCCTGATGCCCTCAGAGTGAGCCATTGCCTCCTGTGGACTTCTAAGGCAAGTTCTTTGTAAAAATGCCTCTGATCTGTAGCACTTGCTGCACTGTATTACAATTTATTTTTTATCAGTCTGTTCCCCTAGACTGAGTTCCTCAAGGTAGGGACAGGGACTGATGGATCTGCTTAGCCCCGCTGTTAGCAAATCCCAAATGAGTAGATGGATGGATGAGTGGATGTATAGACCCTGGTCCCTGGGGACACACAGTCTTCATTCTTCATGCTGTGGAGGCTTCGAGTGATGGCTGAGTTGGAAGAGGACACATGAAAACTGAGCAGGCACCTAAGAGAGGTGCACCCAGCGATGCCCGTGGTCCATGAGTGCCCTGGAAGCTATCGCTTTGGTAGGACAAAGAGCAGCGTAAACGTGGACCTCGCCATGTGGCGTCAAGAAGACAGAGGAGGGTGGGCATCCCCATCAGTGGTCTCCTTCCCTGTCCCACTCCCATGTCACAGTCCATTAACTCCCTGTCCAGGGAAAACCCCAGAAGGAAGAAAATCTCTACTCCAGGCCACCAAGTAGCAGGGCCAGGTAAGAACTACTCTAACACGAATCCCTCCCAGCCAGCATTTCAGTTCCTTTGTGAAGCCCTTTCCCACACATGAGCTGGCCTCCTCCTCCCAACAAAGGCAAACAGGGCCCAATTATTATTAGGGGCCCATTTTACAGGTGGGCACATGGTGGCCCAGAGGGGGAAGGTGTGTCCACCTCACACGGCCAGCAAGAGGCAGAGCCAGGGCCCCACCACTCCCCTAGGAGCTCAAACGCTGACACGGTGGTAAAACTGTGGGGCAAATTCCAGGACCTCAACCAACAGCCCAGCTGGAGCTGTGGGCGGGGGCAGCGGGGGTGCCAGGCCCTCTGCCCCATGAGGCCCAGTGCCGCAGCAGCCCCCTTTAAGGAGCTCTGGGCCACCCAGCAGAGCGCCGATCTTAATTTTAGCTTGGAGGCCTGCCACCGAGGCTTTGGTGAGAGGCAGGCTGGAGCTATGTGGGACAGCTGTCAGCTGGCATGCTGGGTGGGGCCTATTTAGCCGGCTGGGGCACAAGCCTGGGGACACTGAACTGGTGTCCCTGCCCCGCGTCTTTCCCCCCGGGTCTCCCAGCCCCACGATGATGGCCGAAGAGAACACGGACCTGGAGGCCCAGATCGTCAAGGACATCCACTGCAAGGAGATCGACCTGGTGAACCGAGACCCCAAGAACATAAACGAGGACATAGTGAAGGTAGGCTCGGGCCTGCCCCGGCGCCGCCCGCCCAGAGGGTGTGGGGTGTGCTGAGCAGTGGGTGCTGGACGGGAGGGCTCTGCTCCACACAATCAGCTTCCCTGGAAAGAGGCCTGGTCCCTCTGTCTTCTCCAATTCCCCCCTGAAAACCCAGCCTGTTACCCGCCAAAGGACCTTTACATAAACAAGAGCAAGAGTGAGCCACACCCGGGTGACCCAGGCGTTGACTGGGCGGGGAGCATGTCACGGACGGAGCCCTACTACCCTGAAGCGCTTCCCACTGGCTCCTGGCCCTCGTCCCAGCATGAAGACGAGGTGGCCAACGTGGGCTCTTCTCCAGGCCAGGGGGCGTTTCTGCGGTCTCCACAGCGGACTCGGGGCTAATCCCTAGAGGGCAGCTCCTGCCAGGGCTGGTGGCCCTCCCAGGGGCACTCACCACCCCCTCCCTGCGGCACTGCCCAATGTCCACCCCCCAGGTATGGGGCCATGCCCAGCACTCCTGCCAGCCCCCCACCTGACCCCTGGTCCAGGGGCCAGGCCAGGGCAGAGACCTCTCAGAGAGCACCCAGGCCCCTGAAAGGAAATGCTCAGATGGGGGACAGGTGGGCAGCCTTAGGGAGTCAGCCCCACCCACGGCCACTGCCAGAATCAGGCCCCTTTCCTCGCCCGGCTGCCTCCAGGCCCACACCCTCACTCCAACCTCCGCTTGGTACCCACAGGGATCTTCCTACAGCTGACCCGCTGGGAGCAGGGGCGCAGCCACCAGAATCAGAGTCACTGTTAGGGCTGTTAGAAGGGGCCTGGGCCTCCTGATGCTACTGAAGGCATCAGACCTAGGAAAAGCACTTTCCAAGGGAAACAATGTGACCCATTATACTTCACCCCATGTAACTGTACATTTCCTAGCAGCCATGATTTTAAAAAGGAAAAAGAGATACTAATTTTCATACTTATGATTTAAAAGGGATATTAATTTTCATACTTTGATTTCACCCAGTATATCCAAAATAGTATCATTGTAATATGTAACCAATACAAAACAATGATCAATGAACTACTGCCAGTCTTCCTTTGGCTTCAAAATCCAGTGTGTATCTTAGACTCGGGGCGCATCTCAATTCAGACTCCAAATTTTTATCAGGAATCCTTGCTCTGTATTTAATTGCATAAAATGTACAGCTGAAATGCCCAAATAAATTCACATGCCCAAACATTTTTAAAAGTTTGCCAATCCTAGAACCGAATATCAGCTTTTACATTTTAATTAAAATTATACAAACTTTAGAATTCTTAAGTTGTACTGGCCACAGCGGGTGTACTGGCCCAAAGCTCACGGCCACTGATGACACGGCATGGCTGAGAACGGCCTGAGCACCCTGCCCTGCCATCCTCCAGCAGGCACTGCCCATGCTGAGTCTAACTTCTCCCCATGGCTTTCAAACCCCAGCACCATCTTGATCCCAACCTTCTCCCACCTTCCAGCCCGCATGCCAGGGGCTGACCACACCCACCAGGACACACTCCTGTGTCTGTGCCAGGAGCACCCAGCTCCTCACCTCCACATGGTGAAGGCCCTGCTCAGCCTTCAAGACCAACTCAACCGTCACCTCCACCAGAAGCCTTCCCCAACTCCTCCAGGCAGTTGGTGGCTGGCTCTTCACTCAGGGCGTTTACTCCAGAACAGCTCATACTATGCTAGTATTGCATTTATATGTGTATGTCATTGATGGAGGAGATAGGGTAATTACAGCACAGGGTGAAAAGGCTGCAAAGGGAGCATTCGGGGGCAAATTTTGCAAGCTAAAAGGCGCGAGGTAAATGGCAAATAGTATTCGTCACGGTTTGCTCAGTGTGGTCTAGAGGGAATAGTCCCACACTTGACTTTAACAGGTCTGGTTTCAAACCCAGGCTCTTCGACCTAAAAATGATGGCACTGGACAAGTCACCTAGGTTTTCAGAGTCTGCGTTTCCTCTGTGAAATGAGCATAATATCATAATACCCACCAGGTACATGAATCTCAGAGCAGCTCTGTGCAATAGAAATATACTGTGAGGATTAAGCGTAACAAGGGGTTTGAGAGTGCCTGGCACAGTCCCCGGCACAAAGCAAGGGTGTGGTGAGTGTGCGCTGAGTGGGAGGCCGGAGGAGCTTGCAGGAAAGAGAACTGAACCAGCGCCAGGTTTTCTCCCAGGCTCCCCTCTGGCGGCCCCTCTGCTGGGAATGGAGAACAGGACCCCAAGAGAGAATGTGGTTTCCAAAGGAGACCTGCAGTAGGAGACAAGTGAAGAGAGACTCTCGGGCCCTACTGAGCCGGGAGGGAGCCTGCCAGGCTCTAGGCCCAGATTATAAACCAAAGGAGGGATGGGGGCCCACAGATGCAGCTGCTCATGCCGCCTCCCCTGGGGCTGAGCCCCAGAAAAATGTTTCTCCCATAAGAGATAGTAACCTTGTTAATTATTTGGTAGAGGTATTGGCCATTCCCTGGTTTGGCTAGTTATTTAATTTTTCTTTCTTTTGTTTTTTCATGAGTGAAAAATGAAAACGTTTTGAAATTTAGAACAGGGATCTTAAAATCAAGTCAGACAAATACCAGAAAATAGACTTCAATCAGACTTCAGGGTGGTGTAATGGTCTGTGAGGGAATTCAGAGAGAGGGAGGGAGAGAGGAGAGCGTGGATCACCTGGGCGTTTTTCATCACCTGGGGAGAAGACCAGATGGAAGGAGGAAGAAAGAAAAGGGGGTGAGGGGTGAGGGGTGAGGGAGACAGGCTGAGACGAAGGCTCGGAAGGCACCTGCTAGGGGTGGTTTCATGAGTGGTAATGGCTCCACGTGGCCTAGGATGAGTGATACAGGAAGGTGCTGAAATGAGACTGGGTACAGAGACCTAAGTTCTGGTCGTAGTCCTGACACTAACTTGCTGTGTGATTCTGGGAAAACTCCTTTCCCTCTCTGGTCCTGAAGAGGGAGACAGATCCAATGTGTCCATGGATCTGACCTCCAGCAGAGGGGAGGCACTCCCTTTAGTCTTTCCAGAGTTCCAACCTCCCCAAACTTCCTGAGCAAGGCCTGGGACCGCCCTTGAACCCAGGTGGGAAATAGGTGCTAAGGCAGAGGGGATGCCTGTACAGCCCAACAGACTTGAACTGTGTTCTCCAAGATTCTGGGCCGGGCCCAGGGCTGAGGAGCTGGGGAAACACACCTATTCCCTCTGCTCCCACCATCACCCACCATTCGTGGAGCACTGACTCCGCGGATCACTGCTGAGTGCCTGCCATGTGCCAGGCACTGTGCTGTCTCAGACCCCATGCCCGGCTCTAGGGGGTGTCGGGGGTGAATGTGCACCAATGGTCCTTGGGGCTCCAGCCCGCCAGTGAGGACACCTTTCCCTTCAGACCCACGCTGCACAGCCTCCAGCCCTCTCCCCATGCATTCCCGCAGGCCCAGCCCCACCCTGAGTCCTCCTGAGTTGTTTCTGAGGGCCCAGGGTCAGCTCTCTCCCTGCCTCACAACGAGACTCCAGGTGCTGTCGCAGTGACACTTGAGCACAGAGGGTCATGCAGGCCCTTCAGTTTCTGGCCCCACCCGCTCTCTCCTTAGGCACTAAAAGTTGGCCCTTCAAACAGGGCAGGGACAGACATGGTCCCAGCCCAGCACTCTAGATTCCATCCCACCCCCAACCCACACCTGCCTGCAGAAAAACACACAAGCCACAGCCTTTGCTGCAAACACCCAGAGGGCCAGCTCTACCAGCTCTGCTCCCCATGTGGGCCCCCTGGACACGCTGTTACAGAGAGAGCAAACTGACCTGCACTTCCTCCTTCTCAAGAAGAAGCCAACCCAACCGGCAAGAGGAGATAAAACTAACAAGTGTTCAGGGAGCTGCTGAATGCCATAAATTCGTGCCAGCTGAAGTGCCCCGGGCTGGGGCGGGGTGTTAAGGAGAAGACATCACTCTCATCTGGGAAAATCAGGAGCCAGATTCAGGGCGGGTGGTATCCAGATGCATTTTTTTAAAAAAGGGAACAATTTTAAGTGTGGAAAGGGAAGAACAGGTTTTCCCAGAGGAGGAAACAAAATAAGCAAAGGCCACAATTATTGAGAAGAATGTAGGGCAGAGTCAGGGGCCCCTCCCCCGCTTCCCCACCCCAGGTCCAGGCAGACAGGACTCTCGGGTGAGGGCACTGCCCCAGGAAGCCCTGGTCCATCCGCCAGGCCGAGCTGGCTCACAGATGAAACCTCTGTGCTGCTGGCTCACAGATGAAACCTCTGTGCTGCTCTGACTGCGGAGAAAGGCGGACTAAGACAAAGCATCTGGAAGGGAACTGGAGGGCAGGAAGGCAAAGGGGCGGGTTGAAGGTGGATTGTGGGAGGTCACCCCATCGGCCAGTCGTTCCACATGGCAATGCCTTTCAGAAATGCCTTGCCCTCTGTCAAGTACCACCAGGAAGGGCCACTCTGGACCACCTCACACTGAGGTATTTATAAGTTAGAGTTACGGGAACTTCTGGATATCAGCTAGCCTGGAGTTCTTCAAAATATGGCCCACTTCCCTGGGAGCTTGTAAAATGCAGATTTCTTGGGCCTGCCACCAGAAATTCTTATTAACCAGGATCAGTGAAAGTTTTGCACTTTCAAGTGCAAATAAGTCCCCTTTGTCCTATAGAAGACAAACTTGGAGTCCAGAGTTACCACCAGATTTCCCTAAAGACACACTGTATCAGCTATGTATTGCTGTGTAACAAATCATCCCAAAACTTGAGGCTTAAAGTAACCACCATCTGATGATCTCTCACTGTCCTGTGGGTTGACCAGGCTCAGCGGGGCAGCCTGCAGGGCTCACTGGCAGCAGCTCCTGTAGCTGCAGTCAGATGACAGCTGGGGCTGCAACCACCTGGGGCCTCGACTGAGCTGGAACATCCAAGATGGCTCATTCACATGCCTGGCGCCTTGGCGGGTATGGCTGGGAGGCAGGGCTCAGCTCCGATGCTGGAATGGCTG